AGACAGGGATGGAGGGATAGAGCAGGGATGCGAGGGACTCGCGCTGGGAAACCCGCGTGGGACCCCAAGGCTGTGAAAGGTGCAGGCTTTCAGCCCGCTGCACGCGTGCTGGAGAGGGTTTGGCCGGTGCCAGCTGTGCCCAGATGTCCTCTCCCACATCCAGACGTGCAGGTGGGACTGTTATTCCTTGCCAGCTGCTAGGGAAGCTGCCCAGCCCCGGCCGCAGGCTGTCCCTGGAGACGAGATTCGGACCTGGCCCCATCTCACCTCTGTGGATGTACTGAGCCACCATGCGGAAATCGTCCTGAAGGAAGCCGCGGGATGTAAGCGCCGGTGTCCCGAACCGCAGGCCGCTGGGCCGCAGGGCGCTGATGTCGCCTGCACCAAAACAAGTCACGCGTGACCAAACCTAGCACCACCGTGCGCGGGATTTCGGCCTGGTTCCCAGTGTGGACCGGGAGCCCTGCAGGAATATCCCTGGGGTGAGGGGCAGGATGCAGCAGGGCTTGTGGGATCCCTCACCAGGGCACGTGTTCTTGTTGCAGGCGATGGAGCAGATCTCCAGCACCCGCTCAGCCCGGCCGCCGTCCGTGCCTCTGCTGCGCAGGTCCAGCAGAATCAGGTGGTTGTCGGAGCCCCCTGCAAGGACAGGGATTGGTGGGGGATGTGGGATTGGGGTAAAGGCTGCTCCCGTGCAGGAATTCAGCCAAAAAGGGCTTGGGATTGCACCCAATGGGTGCAAACATCCTGGTTTTGGGAGCAGAAGGAAGCTGCCCTTGGGAAGGGGCTGCTTTGGAGTGGTTTTGCAGATGCCCTGAGGAATTGTGATGGCAGAGCCCTGCCTGTCACGTCTGTGCACGTGCTGTGCCTGTGGCCTGGCTTGGACCCACACCACACGCAGGGGTTGGCCCTGTCCCACCGCTGAGACCTGTCCTCACCCGTGACGATGTCGTAGCCCAGCTCCATCAGTGCCGAGGAGAGCGCCTTGCAGTTTGCGACCACCTGCTGCTGGTAGGCCTTGAACTCGGGCGTCGTGGCCTGCTGCAGCGCCACGGCGATCCCTGCGGAGGAAGGCAGACTAGGGTGAGTCTGGGGGCTCCCATCAGGAGAGCCGGTGGGGACCTGGAAGCCGAGCGAGCCCCTAACCAAGCCGGTGACACTGCCACGAGCCAAAAGGCAGGATGGGACAAGCCTGGTTGCTCCTCGGGCAGTGCTGGATCAAGCTGGCTGCTCCTTGCCGCATTCCTTCCTTGCCATGAGCCCCTCGGGGCAGCTGGAGCCCCCTGCGCTGGTGCTGGGGGGTTGGACCCCAGCCAGGGCAGCTTCACCGGCCCCCGTGGCCACCCCGGCCCGACGCAGGTGCGTACCTGCAATGGCGTGGTTGTGCGGGCCTCCCTGCAGCCCGGGGAAGACGGCTTGGTTGATGAGGCTCTCCAGGTTGTAGAGCGTTTCCTTGCCCGTCTTGGGGTCCACACTGCGGGTGCCTGCGGGAGAGGAGGGCAGGGTGGCTCAGGAGGCAGCCCACCTCCCTTCTCCCACGGGCTGCTCTCACCCCCAGCCACTGGGGGATTGTGGTTGTTCCTAGTCAAATTTAGACCCTGGTTGGCAATGGGAAGATCCTCAGATGCTCCCAGGAGGCCCCAGACCTTCCTGCTCTCCCTTCTTCCCAGCCAGAGCAGGAAGGAGCTTTAACTTCCCCCCTCCCAGCCTGGGGGGAGAGTTTCTCCCGGCTCCCCGGCCAGGTCAGGCACCTTTGCGGTAGAAGATCATGCCGGCCCTGCAGCCCCTCAGGGTCTTGTGGGTGGTGGTGGAGACGACGTCGCAGTGGTCAAAGGGGGAGGGCACGACACCGGCAGCCACGAGCCCGCTGATGTGGGCCATGTCGGCCATGAGATAGGCACCGTTGGCATCGGCGATCTTCCGCATGCGGGCGTAGTCCAAATTGCGGGAATAGCAGCTGACACCTGCAGGGAGATGGGATGTGGAGGGGACAGGAGCAGATGCTGGAGGACCCTGGGACGGCCCCAGGTCCAGCCCTACAATGGGGATAGCACACAAGCTCCTTCCGTCGTGGCTGTGTCAGAGGTCTCCTCCGGGCACCACAGCATCTGTGGACTTACCGGGGTGCTACTGGCTTCAGGGAGCCACCCCCAGGGTGTCACCGCAGAGGTCGGTAAGGTTTCGATCCTCACCTGCTATGATCAGCTT